TCTCTCTTCTTCACAGAGAGAAGCAGGCAAGCGTAGTACCACCTCCTGACACTCTCTCACTCTTGATCAATGGAGCTTCGACACCGAGCTATGCCTTTCCTGCGTCTCTGTAACCTAGGGTTTCGTCTCTGCAACTCTCAAATTTCATCAGTTCCCCTTTCCCTGCAACGTAGCGTTTCTCCTTCTCTCTCCGCCTCTTTCATATTTTAGGGTTTATTTGCCTCTTCTCGCTGTCTCCCATCCTTGGATGATCGGGGAAAATTGTTAATGGATCAGCAGTTGCAGGGCAGGTTTCCCCATTCTCAACTGTCTGGTCCTGAGTATGATGCCCTAAATTTGCCTTTTTGGGGCAATATTCTAATAGGATTAACTCTTTTGGGCGTGGGACGTTAATGGTGGGTTCTGGTTCTTCTTATGATGGGAACTTTGAGCAAGGGCTTCTTCAATTGCCTGGAACTTCTGGGATTTTGAGTCCCTCTGATCAAGGGGTCTGTAACCCTAGGGTTCTGATGAATAATCTTCTCTTTCTTGAGCAGAAGATTCATGACCTTCAAGGTGTCGTGAAGTCCATGATCGATGAGGATTGCTCAGATGACCTCTCAATTAGACAGAGAATGGTTTCTTCGGATATCGCATCGATCATGGTTCAGTTTGTATCAACTGCTGGAAAATTAGGGTTTGGGTCTGGCCAAAACTCCAATTGTTTGCAGACAGGTACTGGAATTGGAGCTTCAGGGTTCCCCATGAATAGCTTGCATCAATTTGGAAATGGGTTTTTGACTATTGGGGATTCTGAAATGGGGGTTGGAACGAATCTCTTAGATTCAGTTGTTCATAGAGAGGTCAAAGATGTTGGAGCTGCTGAATTGGGAGGATGTTTAACGACTGATAATACATTTGCACCTTCGAGGAATGGATTCCCAGACGATAACAAGTCCCGAGAGAATTATGTTTGTAATGGAGCCAGACCATCTGTCGTTGTCCCTCAAGGTCCTCAACCAGATTCAGATTTTAATGGTGGAGCAAAAGAAGAGGAAGATGATGGGGATGTTGAGGATCTCATACCTGGTTCTTACGAGCTTCTTGAATTGGAGAAGGAAGAGATCTTAGCCCCACATACTCACTTCTGTTCAATCTGTGGTAAGGGTTTCAAGAGAGATGCAAACCTCCGAATGCATATGCGAGGCCATGGCGATAAGTATAAGACCCCTGAAGCTCTTGCTAGGCCTACCAGTAAGGACCCAAAAGGAGAGGGCCTTCACTTGAAGAGGTATTCATGCCCTTTTGAGGGGTGTAAGAGGAATCAAAAGCATAAAAAGTTTCAGCCATTGAAGACCATCTTGTGTGTAAAGAACCACTATAAGAGGAGTCACTGTGATAAGAGCTATATTTGCAGTAGGTGTCATAGCAAAAAGTTCTCAGTGATGGCTGACCTAAAGACCCATGAGAAGCACTGTGGCCAAGATAAATGGCAATGCTCTTGTGGTACCACATTCTCAAGGAAGGATAAGTTATTTGGGCATGTTGCTCTTTTTCAAGGCCACACTCCTGCTCTGCCTTTACCAGAGGCCAAAGGCTCTGGGGTTTCTGATACTCAAGGAGTGAAGAGTGAAGGAATGAAGAAGCCCAGCTTCAATGGAGTTACAGGCAATGTGATTCCTAGTATGCTTGGGTGCGGAACTAGCAACCCAAGTTTTATTTCTTCTTCTCGAGCAGGGTACGAAGGGGAAGCTTGTGGAAATAATGGAAGGGTTCATACTCACTCTGGAATAACTGGAGTCGGCATGAAACAGGGTTTTCTTGAGGAATTCTTGGGATCCAATATTGGGTTTCCTCAATCTGCAGCAACACTTCTGGGGGGTTCGCATTCCTTTCCCTCTTTGTAGTCTGGTCATTTTCTCTTCAACCTAATAGAAATAACGCCAATATGCTAATGGATTGCTATGGTGATTATGGTTCACTGATCTCTCCATTAATCTCTCCATTAACTGATATTCAGCAATGAAAGCAATGAAACAT